CGCTACCTTAGATAACGTTCCAAAATAAGCTCTTATTTTAAGCTACGAGCTTATTTTGGAAACATTACCAAACAGAGCGTATAGCTTATTAGTAGCTTAAAATAACCTATAAGCTACTAAATAAACTCTGCCAAACAGACTCACAGTGCAGCTGCATTGATCCATCATTCTGGTGCGGAGCCACAAAGCGGACAGGTAGGATCAAGGTCGTCCATTCTTCTAACGTATATAAAGCCATCCGTACTAGAATAATAGCCCTGGCACATCGCCAAATAAAGTTCAGGAATTTATGAAGGATCTTTAAACACCATAACTGAGACCAGGGGGAGAAAGGCGAAGGTGTGGTCTGACTACTATGGCCCTGTTTGGTAAAATATATAGTTAGTCTATAGGTCATTTTTGGATTATTTGACAACTATTAGGTGTTTGACTTGGTTTAAAAATCAATATAAGTGGTTGGTTAATTAGCTTTTCGTACTCCAAAATGCTAAAATTAAAAAAGCTACTCAAAGCAACTTTTTCAATTAACTTTTTGTGAAAAATAAATTATACTAAACAACTATCAGCTAACAACTAATTTACCAAACAATTTTCTACAATCCTCAAATGTAATCAACTAGTTATACCATCTAATTAACCTAATCAGCTAACAGCTAACAACTAACAGTTAACATCCATTTACCAAATAGGGCCATTGTAACACCCCTAAAATCTAAAACTTTAAATGCTTATGAAATAAAGGCAATACTATCATTAAACCTTGAAATAGAGCGTAACTAAACATAAGTGTTTGGGGAGCTATGCCACATCTGAGACGGAGAACTCAGATGCACAGGCTATACTATCTAAATATCCTCAAAGCAATGTCAATACATCATCGTGGCACGCAGGCCAAAAAGGAAACTAACTAACTAAGCCTCGGGTCTTCTAGCGCGCTCCGGAGCTACTCATCTATACCTGAAAGCCAAATATATCTGTTCAGCGAATAATGCTGGTAAACCATTCCAACGCGTTAAAATACAATATAGGTAGATATATATATAAATATAGGAAAAACCATCTTGAAGCCGGAAGATATATACTTAGGAGACTCTAATTTAAAATCGAAAATATAATCAACAAGTAAGGATAGGCACATCCATCAGTTATAATCGAAAATATAATCAACAAGTAAGGATAGACACATCCATCAGTTATAATCACGTATATAAGATACTAGCATACACCCTAAGGTCACAAGATTATTCCACACCAAACATATCAGTATTCAATCATTATCTAAACACATAAGCACACTTTGGTGGTGCCTCAGGACCCACTACAAGAAAAATGCACATAGACAACACTAGAAAGACAACAGTTTTTAAGAAAAATGTTGTCTTTTGTATAAAAGACAATAGTTTGGTCCAAAACAGTTGTCTTTGATGCAACACTTTTGTCAAAGACAATGATTTTTACTTAACCTTTGTTGTAAGTGTGTTGTCTTTGTGCATTTTGTGAAAAGACAACACCACAATGACAACGGTTTTTTAAAACTGTTGTCTATGTGCGTTTTTTTTTTAAAAGACAACGGTTTTTTTAACCGTTGTCGTTGGTGTGTTGTCTTTAAGCGCACTAGAATACACAACACTAGAAAGACAACGGTTGTTTAAAACCATTGTCTTTGTGCGCTCTTTTTTTTTTAAAAAAAAAAAAGACAACGGTTTTATTTAACCGTTGTCGTTGGTGTGTTGTCTTTAAGCGCACTCGAATACACAACACTACAAAGACAACGGTTTTTAAAAACCGTTGTCTTTGCACGCTCTTTTTTATTTAAAGGACAACGATTTTTTTACCGTTGTCGTTGGTGTGTTGTCTTTAAGCGTATTTAAATACACAACACTACAAAGACAACGGTTATAAAAAACCATTGTCTTTGAGCATCATTATTTTATAAAAGACAACAGTTGTATAAAATATAAACAAGGATGTTAACAACAAGAGTCAAACATATGACTTCTAACATAACAAACTAAGCTAAACCCACCAAGCCACGCCAACACTTATCTCAAGCGCAACATCTAGGATATAACCAGTTTGCTTCTGTGTTGTCTCTGAGAACCAAGACAATGATTGTATAAAATATGTTAAGGATGCCCCCAAGACCTCTAACATAACAAACAAAGCTAAACCCACGAAGTCACACCAACTCTTGTTTACTAAAGTGTTACACCCATCAAGCCATAACAAACTAAGCTAAACGATTGTTCAAAAATTAATTTAATAGTTCTATTTTCGTTCATATTTAAATATAAAATTATTCACCAAAATTTCAATTTCAATTCATTAAAGTTTTATTTTCAATTACAATTAAGACCAATCTATGAATTCAAAATAATAATAATAATAATAATAATAATAATAATAATAATAATAATAATAATAATTATTATTATTATTATTATTATTATTATTATTATTATTATTATTATTATTATTATTATTATTATTATTATTATTATTATTATTATTATTATTATTATTATCAAGTATAAAAAATAATAGATTAAATCTATAATATTTTTTTAAAAAAATTGGACCCCCAAAAATTGGACCCCCAAAAACTATATGTTCATAATTTGATAACTATACAGTTTAAAAATTATGAATCAACAATACATAAATTATGAAATCTGCAATATAGAAGTTATGAATCTATTGTATAGAAATTATGAATCTAATGTATTTAAATTATGAATCTATTCTATTTAAATTATGAATCTACGATTTAGAAATTATGAATCTAGAGTAAAGATTTTATGAATCTACAGTATAGAAATTATGAATGTCGCGTTTTGTATATATATACACGCCGGTACTATTTTGGGTCTAGCGACCCGGGTAATAAAACTAATATTTTTATGGTGGATCCAGTCCCTATAAAATCATGAATATACTTATTATTATTATTATTTTCAATGCTACTGGCTCGATCTCACAACCTTCCAAATGGAAGTTCAACCCGGGTACCATTAGACCACATAGTCCTGGTATGAATATACTTATTTAATTTTGAAAAAATGAAAGCTTATTATAAAATTAAAATAAAATTTCATTATTTTCCTAATTATATTAGTATATAGTATATAGTATATAGTATATGTTATTTATTTTCCTCTTTGCAAAATCAAAATAATTCCTTCAATTCAATTGTTTCCCTCTACAAACTTTTAGTCAGAACACTTAAGCGGGAGAAATTTTCCCGTCAAACGCTTTAGTTTTTAAGACAAAATTTTCGCCTACCGCCATTCTCAGACATTCTCTCTTTGCAAACCTAGTGCTCTCCGCCGATCGCCATTCTCCTCAGACACCGCCATCTCTGCCATCTCCGCTGTCAGCCCAGTGCTCTCCGCCGACCGTGCTCTTGCCGCGTCCAACCTCCGACGCCGTCCCCGCCTCCATCCAGATTGAGTGGCTTCCCTAGCATCTTCAAGAAGCTCGGCATCTTTGGCGGATCTAACCTGGGAAAAATCGCGGGCTTCCGTCACACTACTGAACAAAGATTGCTTCCTCTGGGCGGGTTCTTCATCGCTCTTCTCTTTCTTGGCTGAAACCACGAAAGATTTCTTGAGGCTTCTTCTGCTGGGAACGCCGCTACAAGTTGAGAGCTTGTGTGCACACCCAGTGTTTGTGAAAATGCCATTCTGTGGAGGCGTTAAGGTCAGAGCCCTGAGACCCATGTTTTGCTTGTATAGTTTTTAATCAAGGTTAGTTTGTGGTGCCATTTTTGCTGCTTATATATTGGTTTAAGGAGACGTCATGAGGGAGAGTTTGGGATTTGTTTGTGGTGGGTTGTTGCCTATGGTGGAGCATACATAAATCAACAGGTCCTATTCTTTCTAATATCTTCATTTAATAAAACCTTTTGTAAGATGAACGTGTTAATAGGTCACATAGATTTATCAAAGACAACCCATTTAATCCATTACATAAATAGGATATGTTAAGAATTGTCCATCATTTTCTGCTCTTGATATTTTAAGAATTGTTGAGCTAAAGTTGAAATTTTTGTTTAGTTTCACCTTTGACATGCCAATCACTTTGTTGAGAGCTTGAGAGGGGCGTGCATATACTTGTTGCCACTCCTGGGCGGTTAGTTGATTTATTGGAGAGGGCAAGAGTCTCATTGGAGATGATTAGATATCTGGCCTTGGTTGGGGTAGCCACTAAACACTACTGAAAATTCTGAAATTTCCGACCACCTGAAAATGATCTTAAATTAAGTTGATACCAAAAAGTCCAAAAAGTGGTTGGAAATAGCAACAAAGGTTTTTCCGGATACCAAAAGTGGTCGGAACAAGACTTTCAACTTGATTTAAGATCACTTTCAGGTGGTCGAAAATTTCAAAATTTTCAGTAGTGAAAGTTGCTACTTTTGTTTCATAATGTTATTGTAATGTGCTGGAATATACTGGTGTTGCTGAAATGTAACTTTTTGTTATATTGCTTGTTTGAAATGTAAAATGAAAATTATATCTGCTTTTGATTGCCTATTTTAATGGAAATGCATGTATTAAAGTACATTAAAAGCACAGGTTGTTTTACAGCATGTATCCTTTCAAATATTTAGTGTTTGAATGGATTGTAGTGTGAAGCAGATGGATCTTGAGTTCTTGACAACATTGGCATGTTTCCTTGCCATATGAATATTTGATGACTATGTGAGATATGCAAAGCCCGACTCTACAAAGTTTCTCTCTCCCCCCCTGCAATATTAATCACAACTTCTAAAGAATTTTGCACCTAAACAATACACATTTATATTTTATATATTACATGCTCAACAACTCTCTTTTGCTTTTCATCTTGCATTGTTCTTGAGGAGAAGAACTGGCCACCATTCTTCCCAGTAATCCATCATGATATTGCCAATGAAATACCAATTCATCTACAAAAGCTAGAATATGTTGCTGTTTTTATTTTTATTGGTCCAGGTTGGTTTAATTATTGTAAAAGGTGGAGAAACTATCAATAGCCTCCGGACAAGATCAGGAGCACGCATTCAGGTAGTGTTTAATGACTATTAGGTGATAAATTTTTCATAGAAAGTTCTAAAACTGATGATTTGTCTTCCTATTTCTTTTAGCCGATGCAACTTCCTGAAGGAGAACAATCAAAAGAAAGAACCGTGAGAGTGACTGGTGATAGAAAGCAGATTGAGCGGGCTAGAGAAATGATTCAAGAAGTCATGGATCAGGTTTGTATTCATTATCAATCCTGTTCTTTCCCTTTTTAATTTATATACCAAGATCTAATCATTTGGCAAGCGTATTGTGAGTATATGACTTGTTATGTCAATATTGATCAAGTTTGTATATCCTATGTATATCGCAGGTTAGATGGCTATATATAGCATTCATAATTTATATTCAGTTATTGTCTTCTTCTCCTCTTCATGTGTACCTGTCCTCTCATGGACCCCTCCATGGTTTGGCGAATCAGGTGATTTCACTATTCCCTTTAATGTTCATTATATTTCTTTATTTTTGTAATGCATTAACATTTTTACACCTGCAAGATGATTCATTGCTTATATTCTACTCACTTGTTTGTAATTATGACGGGAAGTGTTAATATGGATCAAATCTGTTGTAGAGGAGTGTGGGGATGGAGAGCATATCCAAATAGCAACTAAAGGATTGTTCTCATCGTTTCATAAGCCAATTAGCTGGAACCACCACCATCTATTGTCCGCCTTGTGCATTTGTACTTAGCATTGTCATAATTTTGCTCCTTGATCACTTTTATTTTGTTTCAAAATATTGGACCACATCCTCTCCCCATAGTTGTGCTTTCTTGAATGTGTGCTGCAATTCTGATCTCTCCCATTTGTTAATGTTGTTTTTCCCCAGTTTGTTGAAAAGCTCAAGTCTAGGAAACCATCCAAAGATATGAAGCTTCAGTTGATCCAAAGATAGAGTATGTATGATTTGATGATTAGAACGTTGTGATCATTTAGCTTCGGTTTGTGGAATTATTTTTTGTAGTATTATGACTTGGATGGTGATTCGATTTGAATTGGTCATGGAAGTATTTATACTTGTTAATTAGTTCTTTTGCATTTTAATTTGAACCTTAGCTTGTGCAAAATTATGTAACTACACTTGGTGATGACGAATAGATAAATTGATTTTTTTATATGATTAAAATTTAAGCAGGTTAAAAACGGTTTAAAACCGTTGAGACAACGGTCTATTTTACAATAGGCAACAGTTTAAAGCTGTTGTCTTTTTTATAAAAGACAACAGTTTATGAGCGTGACTTTTAACAACTGCGGTTTCAACAACACACAATAAACAACAGTTTATAACCATTGTTTTTTAAAGAAAAGACAACGGTTAAAAACCGTTGTCTATATGCATTACTTTTAACAACACCGGTTTCAACAATAGTAAATAGACAACGGTTCAAAAAACGTTGTGTTTTAGAGAAAAGACAATGGTTTTTAACCGTTGTCTATGTGCGTGACTTTTAACAACACTAGTTTCAACAACACTGAACAGACAACGGGTCAAAAACTGTTGACTTTTCTAGAAAAGACAACGGTTATTAACCGTTGTCTATGTGCGTGACTTTTAACAACACCGGTTTCAACAACACTTAATAGACAACAGTTAAAAAACCGCTGTCGTTTCTAGAAAACACAACGGTTATTAATCGTTGTCTATGTGCGTGACTTACAACAACACCGGCTTCAACAACACTTAATAGACAACGGTTAAAAAACCGTTGTTGTTTCTAGAAAAGACAACGGTTATTAACCGTTGTCTATGTGCGTGACTTACAACAACACCGGCTTCAACAACACTTAATAGACAACGGTTAAAAAACCGTTGTTGTTTCTAGAAAAGACAACGGTTAAAAAACCATTGTCTATGCGCGGGACTTACAACAACACCGGCTTCAACAACAGAAATTATACCCCTACGACAACGGTTATTAACCGTTGTCTATGTGCATTTTTCTTGTAGTGACCAATCGCATGCCCATATATGAGGGTCAGCGCATATAGCGCTAACACGGCCCCGAAGCACCCCGCATCGTACCGCAGCACGAAGGGGTTGATTGCAACCAACCGATGAACCGTAGCTCATTTATAACATTGGATCGCAACCAAACGGTAGACCGCAGCCCGAATAGTGTGTATTTCTGATCGCAACCAGATTATGAATCGCAGCTCATTTTTAACGTTTGATCGCAACCAAACGATGGACCGCAGCCCTATATATATTTATATACCTGGCCGATCGCAACCGGCCTGGTTAACAGCCGATGGTTCTCAACCCATCCAACTGCCCGTATAGCCAATTGATCGCAACCAATTGGGGTATAATGCACACATAACACGTAGAAGGCACATGCAACCCACATTAGCACATAGGGAGGGGGAAACACATAAATAAAACTTATGCGTGGTCAACCACATTACTAGTAATACGCCTAAGGGGTTCAAACATCTGTCACCTAGGCCAACGGGATACCAATTCAACTAGCATGCAATACCTAAGACTCTTTTATCCCACAAATGGTACCCGAAACTGTGACACCCGGATTTTCTAGCCTCTCTAAAATTCGAAATTCTTCCTTTTCTCAATTATTACTTCTTTCTGATCAAGCCATTTTGATTGAGCCATTTGAAAATCTCATCTCTACTATTATTGTCGTTATAAAAAAAAATAATAATAATAAGTGTATAATTGTTATTTGGTACATAAGTATGTATATATTATTCTTGAACTACAAACTAATTATTTTGGAACAAGTGTGTTATATTATTTTGGGTTATATAATTATATATGTGCATTTTATACACTTATGTATTATGTATTATATGTGTAACGTATTTACATATATTATTTTTGTATGTAAGTAAAATGTATATGGAATATTTGAAGTATATGTGTATGCGGCGTGTAGTGTATATATATATATACACACACACACACACATATATATATATATATATATATATATATTAAGGATAACAATTATCTAATATAGAGTATAGTGTATAGTCTAAATCATTTTATATATAATATAATTTGTATAATTATAATTATTTTTATTAGGAGTTACAATTTATAAATTGGAGTTACAATCTAGATTATTCTCCCATTAAGTACTGATTTACTAAAGATAGAATTGAAGATAATGATATAATCCTTATCCCTCATCTTTTCCTCACATAGCCGATTCTCTCAAAGAAAGAAAAAAGATTCTCTCTTCTCTTCTTCTTCATTTCGGCATTCCCAATTTTTTTTTTTTAAAAAAAAAATCTTTATTCTCTTCAAGAGTCAAGAAGTCTTCAAAGCTATTTTCTGGTGTTCTTGGATGATAGAAGAGGAGCCTTTGGGTGCATAATTGGTCTAGAGAGAGATTTAGTAAAGAAGTTAACAAGTAAGTGGGTTTTCTTCATTTTACTTCGCCCATCTTTGTTTTAAAAATGGATTTTTGATTGGTTGAAAGTTATGAATGAAATGAATTATTTTATGAAATGATCAAGTGTGATTTGGAAATGTTGGTATGATATTGGCGTGATGTTGGTATGATGTATTAGTCGAAAATGTACTAGTATGAGATTTTGGTTGGTTGATTTTGTGGCATGAATTATATCTAAATATATTACGGTAAATGTTTTTTACTGGAAAAATTATTATTTTATTTTTATGTTATGTATGTTATGTATTAGTCGAAAATGTACTAGTGTGAGATTTTGGTTGGTTGATTTTGTGGTATGAATTATATCTGAACATATTATCGTAAATGTTTTCTACAGAAAAAGTTATTATTTTATTTTTATGTTACACCGTATGATTCTGTAAAAAAAAAGTATAATACGTATAATAATAATCTTATTATAGTTTATTTTTGCAATGAAAAAAATAATATATATATATATATATATATATATATATATATATATATATATATATACACGTACTTTAATGTAATGTATAAATAAAGTGATAATAAAAATCTAATTTATATAGATATGTAATCGTATATATATGTACAGTAATATAATAAAATTATTTAAGGAAAAAAATTGCCGTATGTATACATATATCATTTATATAAAAAAAAATATTCTTTATTCTTTCAAGAGCCAAGAAATTCCTTCAAGCTAAAGAGGAGCCTTTGAATTCTTAAATGGCTAAGAGAAAAATTAAGTGAAACTCTCTTCAAGTAAGTGGTTGTTCTCCATTTCTACCTTGCCCAAATTAGTTTTTAAAGTGATGGATTGTTGCCTCATAATCATTTGCCTTATAAAATGATTTAAGTGATTATTTGGAAATATTCTTGTATTTGACAATATGTACTTTTATTGTGATTTGGGTATAAAAAAAAATGTACATCTTTTTATGTGATTTTTGTAATACATTACCGTATGTAAATATGTATATAAATATACCTTCCGTACTCATACAACAAGACACCAAATATATATTTATATAATAATAATATTTTTGTTTAATTAGCATGTATATATTTTATTATATATGCCTAAAAGAATTTAAATGATTAGTAAAAGTGAAATGTTGATTTTAGTTATTTAAATTGTGATGTAAAACATCTATGTTGTTGTTGGTGTTGAAGTGAAGGAAATTTTTTGAAAACCCATCGTGGCGGTATAATGTTGTGTAATTGGCTATGGGATATGATGCCCATTTATATTGGCTATGGGACTTTATGCCCATTTATTTTGGCTATGAGATTTTATACCCATTTATTTTGGCTATGGGATTTGATGCCCATTTATATTGGCTATGGGACTTTATGCCCATTTATTTTGGCTATGGGATTTTATACTCATTTATATTGGCTATGGGACTTTATGCCCATTTATTTTGGCTATGGGATTTTATACCCATTTATATTGGCTATGGGACTTTATGCCCATTTATTTTGGCTATGGGATTTTATACCCATTTATATTGGCTATGGGATTTGATGCCCGTTTATTTTGGCTATGGGATTTGATGCCCATTTATTTTGGCTATGGGATTTGATGCCCATTTATATTGGATATGGGACTTTATGCCCATTTATTTTGGCTATGGGATTTTATACCCAATTATATTGGCTATGGGACTTTATGCCCATTTATTTTGGCTATGAGATTTTATACCAATTTATTTTGGCTATGGGATTTTATACCCATTTATATTGGCTATGGGATTTGATGCCCATTTATTTTGGCTATGGGATTTTATACCCATTTATTTTGGCTATGGGATTTTATACCCATTTATATTGGCTATGGGATTTGATGCCCATTTATTTTGGCTATGGGATTTGATGCCCATTTATATTGGTTATGGGATTTTACGCCCATTTATATTGGTTATGGGATCTTATGCCCATTTATATCGGCAATGGGATCCTATGCCCATTTATGTTACTGGATATGCGATTTGGTGCCCATTTATGTGACTGGTGAATTTTTTTTTTTTTGTAAAAACTTTTATTTACTTGAAAAGAGAGATCAAATATTTTGAAAGCACATATCGGTTTTTAAGTAAGCCTTGTGGCTAATTATTATTGTGGTGATGTCTTCCAAAATGATTATTTGTATGTGGAAAATGAATTAAATATTTAAAGGTACATTTTGATGTGGTTATTGGTTGTTGATGAGATGAAGAAGGTTTTGTAAGTGATTTTGAAAGAAAAGTTATTTTTGAAAGTAATGTACCTTATTTCATTTTAAATTTTTATTTTCGGGCAAAGTAACCCTTACTTAGCATATTTTGCTAATCCCTATTGTTTGTTATGCGTTTCAAAAATATTTAACAAGAATTGATGAAAGCTTGAAGTGAAAGAGCGCGTTAGAAGAAGAAAGGAATAAATGTAATAGTTAGTGATTGGAGTATTAGACTGTTTTGTGATTAGCCTTGCATCTAGTCTTGATAGATTAGATGTGGCGGTAGCACCCTCTAAGTGTTAGAGTTTGAATTATGAATTATTTAAGACTTGAATTGAAGTACATGTTATGATGAATTTCATTTTTAGTAATTCCATTTATAGTAAACTTTGAATTGTACTGTCATTTAACGAAAGTTTTGGAAGTCAAATTTTGGGGTGTTACAAATCATCAGACTAGACTTAGGCACGACAAACGGGGTCCAATGGGACACCACGGGAAACGGGAAAATATTAAACGGGGTAAACCACCAAGTCCACACTGGGAAAACCAGCGGTTGGCCAGCGAGTGGAGGACCACCCGCCGGCGGCGCTACAATGGGCAGCGGGTGCCCGGCGGGCAATCGCATGTCCGCCGCTGCCCGCTGCAGGCGGCCCTTTTAGGGGCAGCGGGTAGGTGGCGGGTTCCCTTGCCCCCACCTACCCCCCACTGACTCTTTCGTAATAATTTGGTCCCGGGATCTTTCGTGGAACCCGAAACCATGTCTAGACAAATTTAAACACAAACGACAACACCATGTAATCAAGTAATGGGTTAAAACCAAGAATCACGTTAAATACATCCTAACATGACTTCTAAACATAAACAGGACTCAACACCCGAACATGCAAAATCCCACCCAAATATACCAAGAATATCATAATACGAAATCCACGATTTAACCTAGGGCTCTAATCATATTTAAAGCACATGATCATAACTTTATCTTCAAAATCAAGAACATCAAGATTATCAAGATTAACACGCAATTATCAAGATCCTCTCATAATCATCAAGACTATCAAGATCAACACATAAGATCATCTCATAAACATCAAGATTATATCATAATCATCATAAAAGCCTTATCAAGACACAAGCATAGAATTGCATATCAAAGGAGCCAATGAAGAAGATTGTAGCATGGAAAATAGGTTTTGTTGAGACATGGGTTACCTCTTAGCCTTAATTAGATTCCTTGGCTACTAAGGTTCTTTCTCTAAGATCTCATCTTCTTGATTTCTCCTACGTTTGGTGATAGGGGAATTCTTGGGAATTCTTGTGTGGTGGAATCTATTGTGGTGTGAATTCTAGGTGCCTCCTATGTCCTTATATATATATATATATATATATATATATATATATATATATATATATATATATATATATATATATATACATACTAAGAGTCCTAAATAGGGTCTGAATGGTAGGGATTTACTAATTCTATTCCTTATAGGACTAAGGGTTTGGTTTAGGGATAAGGGTCCATGGTGTATGGTGGACCCTTCCTAATTAATTAAGGGAATTTAATTCTCTTTTAAGGGTAAGTAATTAAATAATTAGTTTGGGTTAGAGGCTGTAACACGGGGTGTTACACCCTCCCCCCCTTAATGGAAAGCTTCATCCCCGAAGCTTAGATTTGCTGAGTCGACCACCTCCCTTATCCTACGGTTTCGTCTCGGTTGCCTTGTGTGAAAAGTTCGAGGTAGCGTTCCCTCATGGCGTCTTTAGGTTCCCATGTTGCCTCTTCGGTCCCGTGATTGGACCAGAGGATCTTTACCATTTCTATGGTTCGTTGGCGAGTCGCCCTTGTCTTAGTGTCCAGGATCCTTACGAGTTTCTCTTCGTAAGTTAATGTGCCGTCCAGGCTTACGGCCTCGGTTTGTTACACGTGACTTGCATCGTGCACGTATTTCTTTAGCTATGATATGTGGAACACGTTGTGCACCCGTTCTAGCTCGGCGGGTAGGGCGAGGCGGTAGGCCAGGTTCTCGACTTTTTCTAAGATTTCGTAGGGACCAATGAACCCGGGACTGAGTTTCCCCTTCTTTCCGAACCTCATCACCCCTCGTGTGGGTGAGATCTTTAGCCAGACCTTCTCTCCTGTGGAGAATTCGGCCTGCTTCCTCCGAGGTCGGCGTAGGATTTCTAGCGGTCCTGAGCGGCCTTCATTCTTTCTTGTATGCGTTTGACTTTATTTATGGTGTCCTATAGGTATTGTGGTCCCAGGTTTACTGGGTTGACCATGCCTTCCCAACATATGGGTGTCCTACATTTTTGACCATATAGTGCTTCGTAGGGAGCCATGCGGATGCTTGCGTGATAACTATTGTTGTAAGAGAATTCGATAAGGTCTAGGTGCTCTTCCCATGTCCCCTGGAGTGGGTTACCAGCATTATTCGCTGAACAGATATATTTGGCTTTCAGGAATAGATGAGTAGATCCGGAGCGTGCTAGAGGACCGAGGCTTAGATAGTTAGTTTTCCTTTCGGCCTACGTGCCATGATGATGTATTGACATTTCTTTGAGGATATTTAGTTAGTATAGCCTGTGCATCTGAGTTCTCCAGCTCATATGTGGCATAGCACCCCAAACTCTTATGTTTAGTAATGCTCTATTTCGGTATTAATAATAGTACTACCTTTATTATATAAGTTTTAAAAGTTTCGAAAATCTGGGGTGTTACATTAGCCACCTGACGGATGTCATCTTCATCATCCAAATCAGCTAAGGTTAAGTTGGCAAAGCCTTGAGCCATGTTGCTAGTATCCATGCAGATAGAGGGGGGAAAAGACGGCAATAAAAGGGTAGGGAAAGAAACCCTAGGGCACCAAAGTATCGGAGACAGAAGTCATGAACTTTAGGCAGGTTAATTACATTTATTAAAAGTGATGTAAATAAAGTTGTTTATAAAGAGCCCAACAAAATAATGGAGGGGTAAATCATGGTAATCCAACTATCTAGGCTAAAAATCAATCTATTAAAACAATACTCTAGAACTATCAATTTCACTTTTACTTTTCTAATAGCTGTTTGATTTTTTTTTTCTGGGTAGGGTTCTAAATTCTCAATTTTTTAGATAAGGATTATTGAAAGTTCGGTTTAAGTTTGTAATTGTGAATGCTAATTCGTTTTCATTTTGCTTAGTGAGTGTGAGTATTTATTTATTCGTATTCTTCAAGTTTATAATTATTTTTGTTTCAATAAGTAGTGGCCTACTTGGTGTGTTAAATACTCATTTGTCAATTAGGAGGACTTCCCATTTGAAGTGGCACTGTTTGTTTCAATGAGGAATAGATAATCTAATTTTAATGAACTCATTGTGAGTTTGTAGATTAGGGTTTGGATATTTTTTATTCTTATTGCTATCCAATTTCTTATTCTACGAAGTTTATGTATGTAATTTTATTTTATTTTTGTGTACTCAGGATTTTCATTGTTAGACACAGTGACTAATCTTCACGCTAAAAATTTAAAGATGCTACATACTCAAAGCCAAGAATCAAACCCTTGACTTTTGATTAAGGATGGACAACTCACTTCCACTCAACCACACCCCTGATTAAGATTTAAGAGATATTAATGTACCCATGACTGTTCAGGTCGCTATAACCAAAATGAAGCGTGTCTAGCCTCTGTTACCATCTTCATCCTAGATTAGGGACAAAGAACCACCAACAGAGTTGTCGTTAGAACTTGAAGCTGCCATGAGAAAATCTCGGAGACAACTGATACCAGATGAGGATAGGAATATCTAAATTGTATTACCGATGAACTGTATAGAATAATATAAGATTATAGAAGAAGAGTCATAATACAATACAAGTGATAGAATCCTAGTAATATTACTGTATAATTTTTTGTGAAAAGGAATGATGCAATGCTATTAACTGGAAATAATATGAGAAATACACCTATGAGAGATGGATATTCACTCCCTCAAACCAGCATAAAAACCTGATGCCCTTGCTAACACATGAGCAACCTGGTTCACTGATCAACTAACATGACAAACTAACACATTCCAATAGAGGAAATAATGCTCTTAACATGTTTTCCAACTAAGCCTGTATAAGAGTAATCAACCAATGCTTTATGGAAGTCTGAGCAAAAGTTGAGGTTGCCCGACTCTAAAATTGTGTTTTTAAATTAAATATTTTAGATACGGTAAATGATTAAATATAATTATGGTAACATTTAATATATACTAAAGGAATCTTAACAGTGTAAGATAATTTTGTCCAATAAAAATGATAGTACAAAATTTATAGCGTAATGTACAACTCAATAAATATAAAAATACATACATAAATCATGTGTAATAACATTGTTTCACTTTTATAATTTTTTTTTAAATTTAGATTTTAGATATTTATATTATTGTATAATAATAATAATAATAACATTAATAACAACAACAACAACAATAATAATAATAATAATAATAATAATAATAATAATAATAATAATAATAATAATAATAATGTAAAGAAACATTTTTTTATAAATTAATATTTATATTTTTTGAAATAACTAATTAATCTTTATTAATTAAAATTTAAATGAAATATTTTTTATTATATTACTCCAATATATAATGTATGTCTACAGATATTATTATCATTTAAGAATATACGAAAATACATGGTACTGGATGCATGTGCATGGCAATAATAATGGGAAAAGATAAAGGAAGTTATAACGGTATGAGGTAATTTTGTTCAATAAATTGTATAGTACAAATCTTATACCACAATGTATGGAAGAAAAGAGTATTAGGAAAACAACCATAATATAAATTAAGGGTAACAAAACCTTGATGTTTAAAATCCAAAAAACCTTTATACATCTCAACTAGCACCAACAAAGAGCTTTTTTTTGACCATTTGAATGAGAGGTAGTTTCTTCTCAAACTAAATGATGTCAACATTGTGTTGATCCCTAAGAAACAAGTTCCAGAGAAAGTTTCTAACCTCAGACCTATAGTTATCTATAATGTAGTTTACAAGAACATGGCAAAACGTTGACTAGTCGTATGAAAAGTCTATTGGTAATATCATTTCTGACTCCAAGAATGAATTTATTCTGAATAGGTTAATCACTAATAATATCCTAGTGGAAGCGAATGTTGGTCACTTTCTAAAAAGGAAGCAATTGGGTAAAACATGTTAGGTTGCCCTTAAGCATGATATGGCTAAAACATATGATTGAATAGAGTGGAAATATTTGAGAGGGATGTTAGAAAGAATTGGTTTTTACCCCATATGGGTGGAGCTAATTATGTCCTATGTCACCACGGTCAGGTATAATATAATGGTAAATGGTGAGATTGATGGTACTATAACTCCTACTCGTGGTGACAGGGCGATTCGCTACCCCCTTATCTGTTTATTATTTGTGCATACGGTCTTTCCATCCTTCATTAGGATGTCCACAATAGTGGTATCATCCATGGCTGTTGAGTTGCCCATGGAGCGCCTCTTGTGTCACATCTCTTTTTCGTAGATGATAACCTTTTGTTTTCAAAGCTAATACCCATGAAGTAATGGAAGTTAAGAGGTTTTTGAAGATTCATGAAAAGTTGTTTGCACAGTTGGTGAATTCCAATCATTCTTGTATGTCTTTTAGCAGAAACACAAAGGCAACCAATAGAGATCTTGTGGCAAGAACTCTAGAGGTAGTTAAAACTAAGAATTTGGGGAAGTATTTGGGGGCTACCATGATTTACATTTTCCCAGATGCTCTGTCGGGTCAGGGTATGGGGGCCCTTAGGGTTGGGGATTCAACCTTTTGGGAAGAATGAAATAGAAGAGTTGCCTTCGCCTTCATTGATTAGAAAAAAATATCATTGTGTCGACCCTGGAAAAAGAAACTACTCTCCAAAGCAGGCAAAGAAGTTATGTTGAAAAATGTAGCTTAGGCTATGCCAACCTATGCCATGAGTGTCATTTTGCTACCCAAAACTTTTTGCGAAAATTTGGAACAGATTATGATTAGGTATTGGTGGGAAAATGGTTCAATCACTGGTTGGACTAGGACAAGCTTTGTGCCCCTAAAAAATCGAGTGGTCTCAATTTCAAGCAGCTTTATGAGTTCAATTTGTCCCTCTTAGGTAAAAAGGGGTGTCGCCTCTTAACTAATCCATCTATCCTAGTATCTCAAGTCTTCAAAGCACGTTACTGACCCAAAAACTCATTCATTGAAGCAACTCTTGGCCACAATCCGAGCTACTATTGGTTTACCATCCATATTGTACAAACTTTCATCAAGGGGGAGTGCGTCTCAAAATAGGAAATTATTAAGAAACCTATATTTGGCACCACCCTAGCTTTCGAATGATACCAATGCGTTAGTGCAGGCTATGCCAACTGTAACACCCTCGATTTTACCATATTTTTAAAACTTAAATGCAAGAGATAAACAATCTAATCATCCATAATCATTAAGCGGAAGCAAGTCTATACGGGGGCATTATGCCACATCTTACATACTAAAGATGCACAGGCGGGCGAACTAAACCGTTCAACAAAGTATAAAGAGTCAAGGCACACATGCCGCTCAAAAGGACAAAAGACAAAACTATCTACGCTCCAAGTTTAGCGCTCTCGGGTCTCTACTCAAAACCTGTAGAACAAGGAAAACATAACATGGGGATAACACCTGGTCAGCGAACATTGCTGGTAACCCATCAATACGCGTTAAATAGCTTATATAAATAAGTATAATTCAAAACCATTTTCGAAACCGAATACAGTATATATCATTTCAAAAGCCATAGAGAGAAGTCAACTTCAAGGACTCATTCACACTCTCAAAAGGAAAAGGAAGTCAACATCCTTACGGCAACAACAAGACAAGAATCATGAAAGACAATACAACTCGAGATGTATTCTATTGATCACAAAGTAGAATACATCAAGACATGCTCATTAGCAAAGAGTACACAATCACACATTGGCAACTACATGCCACCGTGACAACTGCATGTCACAAGAATCATAATTCCAAGTTCCAACCTTATGCCCTGTTCCAACCTAATGGCTACCCCGGGCCATATTTCAGTTCCAACCATTACCTCCTAGTGCCACCCTGTACTTTTGAGTCCAACCTTATACCTCCAGGGACCATCGTCCCCCCTCCAACATAGCCTCCAACATACCACCAACATATCAGTACACGAGGGTACGATTCATATCACACAACCACCAACATGTGAGCCAAGCTCAAGTTGTAACACCCATGTTACAGCCCCTAAACCAATTAATTATTTAAACATTTACCCAAAAGAAAGAATTAAATTTCATTAATTAATTAGGAAGGGTCCACCATAAGCCCATGGACCCTTATCCCAAAAGCCAACGCTTAGTCCTATAGGAAATAGAATTAGCTAAATCCATACCATTTAGATCCTAAGTATGACTCTTAGATATATAAATAGGGACATAGGAGGCACCTAGAACTCACACCACAATAACTTTCACCACACAAGAATTCCCATAGGAGAAAACAATAAAGAAGAAATCTTAAAGGAAAGATCCTTCATAGCCAAGGAATTTTATTAAGGCTAAGAGGTAACCCATGTCTCAACAAAACCTATTTTCTTTGCTATGATCCCAGTCTTTGGCTCCCTCTATATACTTGTGTCTTGATGAATTTCCTAATGATATTGTCGTATAATCTTGATTGATTGATGTGATGATTTTATGAGGGATCTGGATGATCTTGATGTTAAAAAGAGGTTCTTGATATTTATGTGAT